CTAGATAGTTCCCGTATCTTAAACTAAAAAAGAATAGTACGATTCAATGAAAATAAACTTTAATTAAAATTTTATAATAATTGAGTTTTTTTAATAATATTGTTTGTTTTGTTTTATTGGTTGACTTAAGGCTGTTTTATCGGTGCACCAAAATTTTTTCTCTGTTATTTACCGACAAAATGTCTCGAAATTTGGACATGTTATTCAAAACTATGTTGCCTTTAAAATGATGGTTTTACTTTTTTTATTTTTTTGAATTTTCTGTTGAAAAATTGGATTATACTGTTTAACGTTCTAGAGTTTTTTTTCTGTAATCGTTGATTCTTTTTTCACCTTTCTGTGTCCAGTAATAATCGAGAAAAGCGTATTCAAACTTTGAAGAAAATTGCTAAAAAATACTGAAATCTAATAGTGAAACGTGTTCCTCATCATTGTCGCTTAGCTTGATCGTTATCGCATTAGTGACGTCAAATCTCATGAACGTACGGTAGGGTCAGTTAGTTCGCTTGAATCAGAATCCATTTTAGGTCTTTCATTCTTGTATTTTCTTTATCAACTTGCTTAGTTTTTACAGTTTACAGTATTCTTATTTATTTTGAAAACATTGAAATTATTTAGTTTACGGGTATGTTTAAGTAATATATTATTAGTTTGATGGTATAAGTTAAAAGTTCTTTAGTTTACGCGTATTTTTAAGTATTACATTAGGTTAGTGATATAAGTTATAAGAAACAAGATAAAAAATGAGTCCCAGTAAACGTCCTAGGTCAAGGAAAAGGAGAGCAATTGCACTACAGTAAGTATTTATTATTTATATATTTACAACCGTTTTTAAAAGCTTTTATTTAATTTATATATATATTATATATATATATATATATATACATATATATATATATATATATATATATGTATATATATATATATATATATATATATATATATATATATATATATAGCGTTGATTACGTTCTTCACAAACACCCGTTGTTTGTTTTATTTTAAAAATATTATAATAGTTTATCTTTAGTAAGTTCGTATCTTTTTCCTAGAATAATTTTGTTTCTTTCTCATATTTTTAGGAATTTAAAAATCAAAAAAGCTACTATAAACAAAAGTTCTTCATCAAATAGTTCATTCTATCAAGAATTAGCAGTTCATTTAAAATATTGTATATTCCATTCAGAGAACTTTTTCCTCACAGTGCGTCGCCTTGAAATACTTGCCAGATAAATACATTTACTATTATGATGGTTTCGCAGGTACCT